GCGACAAACAACAGCTATGTCACGTTCATGTTAATGACAGCAAATGCAGTAACACTTCCAATGTTAGATCCTTTTGCCAATAATTTTTTATTTAATTTTCAAAATATATATTTTTTTTACTAGAAATATTCTTTTTATATAAATTATATAAATAATATAAATATATAAATTGAATATAATATTGATAAATTAAATGCACATTTGTATATAAATTTTTCTTGTTGAATTTTGTAATAAATTGTGTTAAATAAAATTATCATTAGTTCATGCTGTATCCGCAAGAACTTGATCCAAATGATTTTCAGTTCAAGGTATTCTTTATATATTGTTCATTACCTGTTTTTAGTTTATTATAAATAAGCCTTACGTTTCCGGTTTTATTTCCTGCACTGGTTTATTTTTTCACGAAAAAGACATTGATATGTTTTTAACGCATTATTTTTCAAGCATTTTTATCTTTAAACAATTTTAATTATTCCGCAATTTTGTAACTAATCTATACAATTGATCAACCGCAATCGTGTAGTTTTTATAATAGGGACTTCAAAGCATTTGCGTCATTCATCATTATCATCATCATCTGCTATCATCATTATTATCATCATCATCATCTACTGTCTGCCTGTCCGGGCGGCAAGTCACAAAGAGCCTCCATCTTTTTCTATGTTTTGTCATATTTCCGGCTTCTGCATGTTTTTTTATTTTGAAGACATTTTTAATGTTGTCAGTCTAAGTTTTTTTTAGGATGACCTCTTCTTTTCTTACCCTCTACATTGTTGAGTAAGACTTATGTTTACATATTTAAACCAGATTAATCTTCTTTTCCGGATTCTTTCTATTATGTTGCTTTCTTCACCATTTTTTTTCTAATGTTGTCGTTTCTTATTTTTTGGAATCAACTTAAACCCACGATCTGTCTCAGACAATTCATTTCGGCTGCTAAAAGTCTCTTTTTATCTGACTTTTTAATTATTCACGTTTCTGATCCATAGATCATCTGTGGAACAATGACGGTTTTCATATATCATTCTTTTGGTTGATAAAATTATGTCTTTTGCTTTCTGTTTTATGCGCCCCACTGTTTGTAGAGCTATGCATATTCTTCTTTTTATGTCTTCCTGATTGCTTCCGGTGCTTGTTATCCTTCCACCCACGTAGATAAAGTTTTCCACTACCTCCAGTACATCTGAATTCAGTTTAATTTGGGGTTTTCTCTTTTTCTGATAGTTTACTGCCATTATCTTTGTTTTTTCTGTGTTAATAGTTAATCCAAGTTTTTTACTTGCTTCGTTAGCTCTCGTGGTTTTATAATTTTTTTTCACTTTCTGACAGTTATCCAACATCGTATGCAAACTTTAAATTGTTTAGCTTTTTGTTTCCACATTTTACTCCAACGTTTACATTTTCTAGAGCGACTTGGAATACTTTTTCCAGCAAGATGATAAATAATGTTGGAGATAGATTACATCCTTGTCTTACCTTACTCCCACCACGATCTTTGCGTCATTCATTACCTTTTAAATAACAATCCGCATTTAATATTCATCTGCCACTTAATGATTCCTTACGTAAAAAATGTTAGTACATGATGTAACTAACGCATCTGTTTCTATGTTTTAGGTAAAGTGGTAATGGAAAGAACGCAACATGGCAACTATGTTCAAAGTAGTGCGCTTGCAATATTTTTCATAGCGTTTTTATGTAGCGTTCAATAAAGGTTGTGCTAGTTTAAGACACAATTAGAGAAGTTGGAAGATAGTTTAATAATAATATCAATATCAACTATTTTTTAAATTTAAGTAATAAAATCTATATCATTCATAACATTTAAGCGTACTTTTCACTTGAAACTATTATGTAGGTACAGGGAATAGAAGGATCGAGCGCAGGAAACAATGATGTTCTTTTTGGATCAAATTATTCCGTTAGTGGTTTTTATTTGTTAACGTGCCATACACTTATTTATTTCAACTGTTTACGCTCCTCGTGTATTGTTTTTTATAATTAATTCTTTTTTATCTAATGCAGCTCTGTCAAACGCAGAGCTGCTTACATGTTGTTCTATACTTCAACTCTTGACCAGATAAACTAAATTTAATATTTTTATTTTTGAAGATTATCATTTTCAATATTTATTATTTTTAGATTAAAGTGTCATATGCATGTGTACTTCATTCAACGACTGAACGTTTTTTTTGGTTCACATTTTTTATTTTGCACTTGTCATGATCGATCGATTCATAAGTTTCAACTGCAATATTATTCAGCAGATGATTACATTATGCAGCAATGTTAAATATATTTCAAGTCTAATGTATATTATAATAATGCATGCAGCAGTGGCGGATCTAGATAATTTTCAACGGGGGGGGGGAGGGGGGCAAAGACCTTCAAAAAAAATCTTTGACGACCGGGGGTTGGAGGATTTTTCAAATTTCCACCAAAAATTGTATTTTGCTACCCGGAGGGATTTTCTACTACCGTGTCATTTTGTATTTTCAATAACGTAACAACAAAATTACATCTGCAAAAAACGACAGATCAAACCACGTGGTTGAAATTCTTCAAAACCACTCTCATAATATTGCAATCGAAATACTTTACATAACATGCTGGAGAATTGATCAATACAAAAATATAATTGAAATTTAATTGAAATGACAATTCAGGAAAGTTTTCTTTCTCAAAAAGTCATAAAATCTATTATGATAATTTATGAATATAATTTTAAAATTGCACGTATCTTATTTAAACATCAAAAAGTTTTTTGGGGTTGATATATAATTTTTATTCAATTTAAAATTAAAGCTTCTATTGAATGATAATATATAAAATAATTTAATTTTTATTTTTTTTAATTTGTTGGAAACAAAAGCTTATAGATTTTTAAAAAATTTCGTCAGTTACTGAGTTGCCCAGCTATTGAAGACATTGACGGTCCGTACAACTCCACAAACAATCATTTGAATGTTGATGGATGTTCAAACAAAGTTAAACTGAGGAGACATTCCGTACCTTACACACTTCCCGTTGGTCAAAAAATTGCACTCCATGACGCTTCACCTGATATCAATCTTTCGTCAAGTCAGAAGAAATTGGTGATGGTCGTCAGCGATGGTAGGAAGGAGCAGGAAGATGGTGGGTTGGTTCTCGTTGATAAGAGGATTCCTTATGATAGCCCAATCAGAGCTATGTTAGAATTGCATTACCATTGTTAGACTTTTTATCTAATAGATAAAGTTATTGAAAACAGTAATTTTGTTAGTTGAAAATTTTAAACAGGTTCAACAAAGTTGGCAGTCACAACGGGTGCGTCATGACGAGGAGCAAGCAACATTTGAAGCAGATTGGAAAGAGTGGTTCAACTTCATCATCATCATCATCATCATCCTCCATTTTCTCTCCTCGACTCTCGCTGGATACGGCTGTCAAGGAAGACATAAAAACGCTTTCAAAGTATCGTGGTGCATGGCAGATCAACGTTATATCAATAATGAACTTGAACAAAAATTATTTAATGGAAGGTTAGAAATTTTTTTTGCATTAATTAGTGCAAAAAGAACTAAATAAATATGATTATTATTTCGTGATTATATATTTATTGCTTAATTAGATAAATTTAATGAAGCAGCAGCAGTAGTGGTGCATCGTTAATATTTTGTTATCATCATTAGCCCTTTTGTCACATTTTCATAATTCCTCGTACACAGCTTTGCTGTCATAGAATGTAGTTTTCAGATAAGCACTTGAAATGTCAGTTTGATGAACATGGCACATACATACATTGCGTACACTAATGTCTCACCAGTTTATTTATTTCTAACAGCTCAGTTAGATTTGACGTATGTCGTAAGTTGCATTCTTGAACTAGCAACAGCTTTCTAGGATGGATTGTTAAAGTTGTTGCTTCATTTTGCAACTGTTGCTCTTTTTCATCAACAATTTTCAATTGCCCAACTCACTGATGTTGTAGTCCGCGATTAAAGATCTTTGAATATGTTTTTGAAATGCCAAGTAAATTATACTGAGATTAAAAAATAACTTCATTTGTAAATATATACATACATACATATATGTAACTATTATTTCGTATAACTTCGTGGCCATCATAAAACAGTTCAAGCCATCATACAACATGTTCAAAATGTCATACGATTTGTTAAATTAAAATTGCCTACAACGAGCATTCCTCATGCTGACCACTTAAAATGGCCACTTCATTTTTTTCATTAATATTTCCCAAAGCAAACTGTTGTTAATATTAAATTTAGTCCAAGTACTATCTTTAATAGCAAATTTCAAAACGGGATTTTTAACAAATGTTGAGTTTGTTTCAACCGCATTGTAGATAAGTTTTGACAGAAAAAATTTTCTGTTCCACAGATGAAAATGAGCTGGATGGATTGCGAGATGGGGATCGTTATTTTCATCCAAGATCGACATGGAAGAAGGCCATCAGTGATACCATCCTTCTCATCAAGATAAACAAGAAGAACCAAAAAAGTGTCAAAAATTCTGGTTAGCACTTAATCAATTTACACAGCGTATTAACATAAAATATCATGTTTTATATGGACGTAGTTAAGTTATTTCATTATTTAACATAGGTTTAATTATTGGCTACATTGTTGTTAATTTCTGCTACTTTTTTATTTTCGCATGTCATTTTTGAGTTTAATCTTCTGTTATTATTTTTTTCTACAAGCCATGTTCAGATTATTCGTCAGTAAAAAGATCTAAAAGATCAACAAATTTAAGAAATTTATGTTCCCGAATTTGCAGTTTTGTTGTCTTTGCGTTCATTATTTGCAGTTGTACATTTTTTGTATATGTATTTTTATAAAATTTATGTACTTTCGTTAAGTATATTCACACAAACTTCTTTAAAAACTATGCATTGATTGTATTCATAAACAAAGTAATAGATGACAAAGTTTCTACTGGTTTATAGTAATTTTTAATAGTGGTGTTGGGTGAATTTTCTGATCCTATTAATCATAATGTTTTTTCCTAGTGGCAAAGAATTAAATTTAATTAATGATGAACATTTTTTAAAATTTTTTCAGTGGTTAACAGATATTATAATTATTGTAATTTCAGAGAAGGAATATTACGAAGGTGTGGGCAAACGTGTGAATTACCAAGAAGTCACACCTTGCTTGAAAGGGGTCAAAAAATTATGGAGGCAACTCTTGGACACTGACCTCTGGAAAACCATAAAATTGGACAGGAAGATCTTAATCAGATCAGTCAGAGATGGTTGGTCAACTGATACACTTTTATAACAATGTTTCATTTGCATAGAGCTCTGGAAAGATTAAAATTTGCAGATATCGTACTCTTATGCGTATGTGCAAAAATAACGCGTCGTGAATGGGTGAGCATGATAAACAGGACCCTCTTTGCATCGAAATGAGTCATTGCAAAGCATTTGACAAGCACTTTAACACTATATCATCTTTCTTTGTTATTTTATCATATTTGTTTTCTCATTATTAGCATGCTCAATTATTTTTATCGCTGAAAAAATATTTCAATCAATCAATTAGTTTGTAAGCGCTATTTCCGCAATGTTCAACAGCGCACCTCAATGAATTTTGCAAACAGATGAGTGTTGAGATTTGCTCCGAACTTCGTAAGTGATGGAGAAGCAGTCAGAGAAGGAGGTAGAGAGTTCCAGAGAAAAGGGCTAGAAAAAGTAAATGCAGATTTAGATAAGAGAGTGTTTAACAATTAAGAAGAAGTGAGAACAAGATGATCGTAAACCGGGGCGTTTAGATTCAATTAATATATCTGATAAGTACATAGAAAATAATTTAGATTGAGACTTGTACATTGATGTGCGCATTTTAATAATTATTCTATATTTTATAGGTAGCCAGTGCAAGAGGACAAGGTAAGGAGATATATGAGAAAAGAAGGGGGTTAGGGTTTGCTTTGCTTTGCTTATAGGATAGAGTGCAGAATCAGGAAGACTATTGTAGAGCGAGTTACAATAATTAACTTTAGAAAAAACTAAAGAAGTAACAAGAAGGGGAAGAGTAGGATTGTCAAGAAAAAGCAAAAGTTTTTTATTCTACTTTGATGAAAGTAAGAACTTCTAGCAACACTATTAATCTTAGAAGAAAAAAACATGCTAGAATCAAAGATAAAGCCTAGACTACGAAACTTGTGAGAAACATTAAGAGTTTAATAATCATGAAAATATTTTAATTATGTCCTGAATAGTTATAATTTTCACATTATAATTTACGAATCGGTGAAGAATTCGTGATTAAAGATGCTCTATATTGTTCTATATAAATTGAAACACGAGGTTGGGTGCCTAGGACTATTTTGTTTCAATTTTAAATTTATTATGAAATGTAGGTGTACCCAAAGAAATGAGAGGTGACATTTGGAAGCTACTGATCCTCCAGAATAAGCTGCATCAAAATGGAAACGTTGAACACCAGGAATTCAACAACAACATCTCCAATAAAACTACCAGCGATTATGATGCTCTTCATTATGATCTTTTGAAAAACCAGTTGACTTCACATCAGCATGCTATCCTAATTGACTTGGGTAATTATAAAAAACAATTCGTATATATTATATTTAACATTTTGACGTAATTTATGTTAATGTAAATTATTGCCAGCCACTTAGTTCGTTGTTTAATGAACGGAAAGCATGTTCTGTGCATGTGGGTTTTTGTTGAATTGCTTTCCTACCTTCGATTGTGTATGTGCGTGTGTGCGTGCGTGTTCGATGTATTACTCTAGCACTGAAAGAATAAATTTCACAACGTCTTCGATTTGAAGCTTAATCCAGATGTTTGCAATGCCTTGTTTCAGCGAAACTCTTTTGCCTGCTATCCATGCCAATGACCTCCACACAGTCTGGAGTATAATTTTGAGACCACTTATGAAACGTGTTCTGTTTGTTCGGCTTTTGGAGGTTAAGTAGTAAACAAACAACCGCCCACAGAAATTTGTACAATGCAATCCAAAGTATGGCGATCTCAGTTTTGTCTTATTCTTTATCTACTATACTCTTTATTTATTTTCTTCGAATGTTTGAAAATGTGAAAAAAAGATTACAGCAAGCTCGCCAATGTTTTTTCAGTGTAATTTTTCAGCACTCAGCAGCGTTTTTAACGTTTGACAAACGTAAACATTTAAAACAATGCAATATGTTTGGCTCTTCGAACAAAGCCACTTGCGATTTCGCATTACTCGGCTCCTTTTCTGTTTTATTTACTATTTTGTCGCAAAATAAAATATTTTTTAATCATAAATCGATTTCATTCAAGGTCGAACTTTCCCGAGCCATCCGTTCTTCTCATCAGCAGCAGGGCCTGGCCAAGCTTCTCTCTTCAACGTTTTGAAGGCTTATTCAGTGTTGGATGCCGAGGTTGGCTACTGTCAAGGACTGAGTTTTGTTGCCGGCGTTATTCTTATTCATGTGAGTTTTATAATAATAATAATATTATTATTATTATTAGCTTGAATGTTTAAAATAAAAGTTAATTCAGTTAATGTTAGTTAGACATGTCAAAACTTTTGAATAAGACTCACAATCATCATCATCAAATATTTTGTTTTAAGCGAGTCACCTGAATTCATGATAGTTATTTTTTTAAATAACATTAACACAACGAAATTTTTTTAAAAATTACCCTCAAACAAGGACAGAAACCGAGTCAAATTAGAATATAGCTAAATAAAAATAATGTGATTAATTTAATTCTAGAGAATTTTTAATTAAATATTTATGAAATTAAAAGTGATTTTTAACCTTCAATATTTGAATTATTATGAACTAAAGGTGAATGAAAGAGATGCATTCGATGTATTGAAGTACATCATGTTCGAACTTGGCTTCAGGAGGCATTACAGACCTGACATGGTGCCCCTTCAAGTTTGTAATTCAATTTTATGTTTGCTACGATAGCTGGAAAAATTGTTTTTTTCTATAATAAGTGATAGAATTGAACTTTTATTGCCTTCTGAGCAGGTGAGTATGTACCAGCTAACTCGTATGTTGCACGACTCCTACAAAGACTTGTTTGATCATTTCGACGCGAATCAGATCGCTCCAACGTTGTATGCTGCCCCTTGGTTTCTCACAATCTTTGCCTCTCAGTTCCCGCTAGGATTTGTAGCAAGAGTTTTTGGTTAGTAGATAAGCGCGGTTATTCAGAGTTTATTTTTATGTAAAAATTTATGGTTTATAAAATGTAAAAAAGCATAGAATTATTTTCATAACAATCAACTTAAATTAGTTCCGGTTTAAAAAAAAAAACAAATTATAAGTTTCATTAAAAAAAGTTGTAATTTTCTACTAAACAGACTTGATCCTAATGCACGGGACTGAGGTCATCATTAAAGTGGCTCTCGTGCTGCTGGACAATCATAGAGAACTCATCAAGCAATGTTCTTCCTTTGAAAGTCTTGTCGAGTTTCTGAAAATCACTTTACCCGATATGGCCATCATCCAAATGGAAAAAATTTTCAATCAAGTAATTTTTGTAATTCTGTACAATTTCAACTAAAATATTTTTGTAATTAATACCAATATGACATAACATGATGGTTAAAATTAAAATGTTCTAAATTTTGATCACCACATTTGAGGTCTATTCAATGGACATAACTCGATGTTTGGAAGCTTATGAAATGGAGTATCACATTCTCCATGAAGAGATCAGTCGGCCTATTAAAAACTCTTCCCAGATTGACGATTGTGATAAAATTTTGACGAGGTTTCTTTGCATCAATTCATATTACATTTTTGTATCTTCAATCAGTTGAAAATAATAAATAATACGAATAAACCAACGACTGATAGATTTCGAAAAAAATTAACATTTAAGCTATTCAAAATTTGTACTGTTTTTTGTGACCTTGTTATCGTTTGTCTGCGGTTAGATTGTTGTTGCAGTGCCCTCAACACACCACAGATGTACCTTCTGCATTATCGTGAAATAGTGCATCCAACATACAACTGATTCATTATTAATATTATAAATTTGTTTCCATCGAACAAGATTAACCAGGATTCAGTTAGTAAACGACAGTCTTAGGAGACAAAAAATGGAGTTGCTGGAGCAGCTGCAGGTTAAAACATTGAAAAGTTTTTGTTTCAATTTTAAAATTTTTTCATAGATACAAACATTATTTTTAGGTTTCATTTTACTAATTTTTATATCCCTGTTTTTAATGAAATAATGAAGAAATTCTTTCATTTACTATAATAGTTGGCAAAACTTGTTAGTTTGTTTTAAATTACAATTGTTTGATGACTATATATCAGATTGCCAGAAGGCAAATACTATCATTGGAAGAAGAAAACTGTTTTCTTTCAAATAACCAAATGAAGTTGAAATCTCAAAACCAAATACTGGAGCTGGAAAGGACAGCTCTTCTGAAAATGATTGATCAGATGAACAACAAAAATGAAGTGAATCCTAATCCTGAGAAGAGTGAAGAACTCATTACGAACATGCACAGCTCTTCAGGCGAAAACGTCCCGCTCGGCATTTAACTGTACAGATTCAAAGCTTTAATTTTTGAGTTTCACAGCATCTATTTCATGAGGTTTCCTCAATTAAATCTTGAAGTAATTTATTTTTTCTACATTCTTAAAATTATAAAAGTAATCCTGCAGTAATCTTATAAAGGGCTGGTCGAAATTTTTTCGTCTAAACAATCTAAAAAACACTTCTTTTTAATTTTTTGATTACTTAAACTTGCAAGTTTTTCTTACAAATATGTTTAAAAACGAGGTATTTTAAGCTTTCCTTTGCAATAACCTATTATGGCTACAGCTAAAATTAAAGTTATAGTTTAATAATATCACTTGGTATGGTGCACGTTTCATTGTAGCAGTATAACCAATCTTTTTTTAATAATATGCGAACGATTTAATAAAAGAATTTGTTGACTTCAATGATCCCGATAATGTTATTGAGTTATTTATCTCGTATTTTGTTACTTGTGATGTACAAATTGTGCAATAGCCTGCTTGAGACATAAATTAAACATGATATCCGTTATTACCGATACATCGTCAGTTCGTTACAGGAGACAGTCATGCACCCACACTAGCCTGAAGTGGCTCCTTGACGATAGTCGCATTTTTCAGGGTTTTCTTGTTTCATATTTAGATGCTTTCGTTGAATTGTTGCTATAATTAATGAAAATATATATATATAGTATTGCATGAATTCTACCTATTTGTTGGCATTAATCAATTTAAAATTTATCTTTTCAATTTTCTTTGCTAGAATTTTCAGGAAATTGTTCAATTTATTGAAAATAGAATTATTATCCAAGTTCATCGTAAGAATTTAATAAAACTGTTGTTACCTAAACTCATCATGCAGATAGGCCTTATTTCGATTTTTCAAAAATCAGCGCAGGTTTGTTTATATAGTTTCTTAAAACAAAGCAAAGTTAGTTCTTTAGCAAAGAGAGTTGGTGTTGTATTCTTCATCTTTGTCATTGTCATTTCTCTGTCCTTCAGTGTTATTGAAGTTAATATTAAAGCGTCCAGTTGGTAATGATGAAATCATTTTTTTTGGATGTTTATTTGGGGTTTATTGATATCTATTAGGATAGCTTTTGCAATTTTTAGATGTATTTATTGTTTTGGTGTTTTGATAAATTATTTTTGTGTTGCTGTCAAGAAATTAGCTGGTTATTGGAGTTGCATGTGTTGGTTGTAAGTGAGATTTGGTGGCTCCTCTTTGAGTATGCGTTGAGATTTGTAAAAAATCGAAATAAGGCTTATCTGCATGATGAACTTGGATAATAATTCTATTTTCAATAAATTGAGCAGTTTCCAGAAAATTCTAGCAAGGAAAATTGAAGAAATAAACTTTAAATTGATTAATGTCAACAATTCGGTAGAATTCATACAATACCGTATAAATATGGTCTCCTTTCAATATATATATCTAAATATATATATATATATATGTATATATATATATAATTTATATTCATTCAGCTAGCCATTTTTGGTGTGCACAAATGTTGAAAGATGTTTTCTTCATAAATGGAAATACATCTCGTTAGAGCATCTACAGTCTGTTGAAAGAAATGCTGATTTAAAACGTGATCATATCATTCATTTCATTTTATATATTTGTTTGTTAAGATTTTTGTTTGTTTGTTTTTACGTTGTTATTAGCTTATTCAACGGCGGTTCAGTATACAACATTGCTGAATGTTTTTGAATAAAAATTTCTCTAGCATCTTTATTTGGTCAAATGTCTAGTCAAGATGATTAGTTTGTTTAATTTAACTCATCGTGGTTTTCTGCAATAACATTTATCCTTTTATTTTTTGCTGAAATTTGCCATTTTTTATGTTTGTGCCTTCCGTAATACATTTTCGAAATTGTTACTATTTTTCAGTTAAGTCTGTACATTTACATAATATCGACTAATCAATGCATTCTTAGTTCAAATTGTTGAATTTTTAAATTAAATGAATGGCCGATCAAATTACAACACTCAACATACCCAAATGTTTATGAAGAAAGTTTTAAATTACACATGTATTTATTTGAAATCATTTTCATTTATAAATGACAATTTTTTATATAGGGTATGTATTAATGTAATTTTTTGTTGTTTGTTTTTTACATTGTTATTACATTTTTTTCATCTGCTAGTCAAATAAAGCCATACAAATTTCTAACTGCCTTATTTTTTTAAAAAACTTCTGAAATACTGGAACAAAATAAATTACAAATTTACCCATAAAACATTGCAGTATTTTTCAAATGTTTTACCTCATTTTACGTAACAGAATCATCGATTATACAAAACTAAAGTAATATGTACATGCAAATTTTATTCGATGCTTCCTTTCTTTTTTTTAAAAAGTTTCTTCTGGACAACAAATTTCAAACAACGTCCAGTTTTCGACCATCCAAAATAAAGCAGAATGAAGAAAATTGAACAAGATTCTGTTTTTCAAAATATACCGTACACATTTGTAGCAGAAGCAATTGTTTTAATATTGATAATAAATGTTACCAAACGCATTGTGCAACCATTTTTATTTTTAAAAATTGCAAAAAAAATTTTAGAATAGAAAAGGACTCTTTAGTGCGTAGTGTGCAAAATGATAACGACAATTTTTTGGCTGGATAACAAACTGAAATTGCTAATAATTGTTTAACAGTTAGCCAGCAAAAAGAAACCTCAAACTGTTAGACTTCATTTGTACAACCCAAAAAACTCATTTATTGCAATTTATCAATGTTTGGCGTAAGATTTGAATTCAAATTATTTAGAATCATATTTTAGTCAATTTGTTGTTATTTTTGAATTTAGTTGGAAGCCAATTCTGTATAGGTGATTGTGGTTTTCAATTCAAATCAGCATTTACGTGGTATTGATGATTTTAAAAACTGAAAATAATTGAAATGAAATTAATAATAGGGTGATAATAAAAATGTTACTAACAATGCAATAAGAATACTTATTCCACAAGTTCATATACTCACACAGCAACAACTCTGTTGCAACTACTCAACATACTTCATTATCACTAGATACCTCTCGATAAACAACCAAGCAACAATAACCATACACTTTGACACTCCTCACCACACAACTTTAACACCTTTCAACTGTCCAGCGAAGCTAAACAATGAATTACTAATATAAACTAATCGGCAAATCCTGATTTTTTCGCTTCTACGCTATGGGAAGAGAACGAACCTGTGCGCCAGTGTAGATGAAGATGGGTTTAAAAATGTTTCCGGAGAATTTATTTATTCATCTATTGATAACTTCAATTATTTTATCAACATAGTTTCCATTTTATCTATAGAAGTTAACATTCACTGTCAGATAGAAATTGAACTAGTTTCATTAGCCTCAGCCTGGTCTTTTGTCTACTGCTTTCAGTGACATTAAGTTGCATATATAATGCTTTTTATAATCAATTATTTCTTGAATGCTGGTCATTGAATTAATAAAATCACTCAAAGCATTATGTTGGTTCATTAACTCAATGTGCCGGTACTCTAACTCGAAGATAATAGATATATAAAATACAAAATATGATGTATTTTAAGTGTATGATAGATATTAATGTTTATATAAATAATAAATTTTTAATTTTGTTTGCTTTTTTTTATTCTACATATTTGGTTGTTACAGCCGTGCATATTAATAAAAATTACAGCATAGAATTTAGCTCTAAATAAACTACTTTTGATATCCAATATAAGTTTTAAACATAAGCAAATTTTCCTTTTCCGTTTCGTGTTTTTTGTTGATGTACTTGCGGTAGGTTTTACTGAAAAAAATATTGAAATCTCCTTCATACAATTTAATTAATATAAAAATATTTGTAATTTGTAATTGGAAAAATATTTTTGATAAGATTTTAAGACGTAATTTTTTTGGATGGTTCAATTTTAACCACTAATTAGCGGGATATTTATTGATTATATTTCACTCATTTCTTTCAGATGTATTCGACAAACGCGAAAATAGTTAAATTACCGGGTGAAAAACCCGATGAGTTAGAAAGCTCTATTTCTCAGGTGTGTTAGGTTTTCAAAATTTATATTTTATAAAAAAAATTCAACTTTATCATGCCTGTTCAACATCATGTTAATAAGTAATTATTTTGTCGTAGAGGCGTTAATTTGGCGGGTCAATTTCTTTGTAAAGGCACAGAATGTGTCTATAAAGTAAATAAATAATATATTATGATGGACAGTGGAGGTTAAAGGCTAAGCTAAAGCTATTTTCTATGAACATACAACAAAATTAAACTGCAAATATCAGTGTTCCGTGCTCAATGTAGTGATACATAGTGCTCAAACATTTATTTCCTAATTTTCTTTATTATCATTATCACATCACAATTTGATAGACGAGTGTTTCATACCCCTGCATTAAATTATTTTATTTTACTGTTTAATTTTTAATGCATTACAATTTTTCAAATTTATGCTATTTACCGTACCTAGTATATTATAAAATTAAATTATATTTAATTAATATTAAATAATATTAATGCTAGCTTGTAGGAAATTTATTGAGGAAGTTGTGGGTAAATTGGTCTTAATACTGCTTTTCTATCAAAAATAAGTCCATTTTATCTACAAATATTCAAATTCCATGCTAAAAAATTTTGTTTGAAATATTTAATATTAATGTCACAAACTTTTCAAAATGTCAACTTTGTAATTTGTAGGCATTGTTGGAACTGGAGATGAATAGTGATATGAAAACTCAACTGCGGGAACTCACATTCACAGGAGCTAAAGTATTTTAACAATCAAATTTCATTTAAGTCTAAATTGCATTAAACTATTTCTAATTATTCTAATCGCTATGTGTGCCAGGAAGTAGATGTGCATAACAAAAAGGCAATCATTATTTCTGTTCCTGTTCCTCAATTGAGATCCTACCAGAAAGTTCAATCGAGATTGGTTCGTGAACTAGAGAAGAAGTTTTCTGGCAAACATGTTGTTTTCATTGCCCAGGTTAGTTTGTTTACTTTTGTTAAGTTTTTTTTAAAATATATTTGCCAAATCAAAATATTCATTCTACAGAGACGAATCCTCCCAAAACCAACAAGAAAAACTAGACGAAAGAATAAGCAAAAAAGACCAAGAAGGTTTATTTTAATTTTATACTTCTATAAACTAGTTGAAAGTAAACAATAAGAGTTTTAACTATTAAAAAAGCTGTTATAAGCAGTAGGTGGAATTGACTCATTTTGTGTAAAAATCATTTATGGACTGAAGAGACTTATTTTACTTATTAACACTAGATGTTGCAAAATAAATTGAATCAATGAGATCACAAATGTGGAAAAAGTTTTTTTTACAGCTGTGGTTTTATCCAGAGTGTTGGAGTTGGCCAGAGGATTTTTTAATAAGCCGGAGTCAGTTTTTTTATCTGACTCTGGAAAATGTTATTATTTAAATTTATTTTTCTTCTAAAAAATTTTTAGAAGATTATATTTTTTAGAGGATAAACTTTTGTAGTAATAAGCAATCCTCATTATTACTGAAAATAAATTCTAATAATGAAAATAAAATCACATAATTTTTTTCAGTACATTGTAATATTGTAAAATATAAAAATAATGTAATGTTAGTAAGAAAAACAATTTCATTGACTAATTTTGAAGGTTTTTATTTAGTAATGATAAAAGGTGAAATTATATTGCAAAAGTTAAAAATTTTTTCTGGAATTTGGGAGTCCTACATTTTTTCTCAGTCTAATTGTTTATGGGGAGGTTGTCAGGTTTTTTGAAGGGCCAGAGTCAAATATTTTTCATCCGACTTTGACACTGGTATTATCCAACATTTCAATGAACCTGGTATGCAGAACAACAAAAACAATTTACAATTCCTGGTAATATTCCTGGTGATGAGTTTTTTTAACAAATAGGCTTACTAGCTAGGAATTTTTTAAATTTCTATGTTCAAAATTTTTACAATACATGCAAATTGTAATTTGAAATTGTTCATGGCCATTTGTAAAATTCCATTATAGCAAGCATCAAATTTTATATATGCAAATAATCTATGTTTAGTGTAAGATTTTTGAAATGGGGACTTGATTCGGGTACAAATTGACATGACTTAGATCTGTTAAATCTGATTCAGATGTGGATCTCTAAGTATCTCTCCTAATTCTAATATTTGTTATTTATAAGTTAATATATATGTATTATATAAAACTCAAAATAAATAAATACAGTTTTAATTTTTTTTGGTCTTGCATGACAGTTTTATTTATTTTTAATGCTGCAACTACTGGCATTTTTCACTTTTTGTGCTGAAATCTGTGGGTATTTTCAATGTTGGTGTATTTTTGTCAATCAATTTTATTTAAAATAAATATTTAAATTTGGTTTGAAAAGTTTCTAATCATAGTTAAAGACATCTCGATAGTAAAGCTATTCAACGCTTAAGCTGTTTTTAAAACCATTGCTAAATGGTGAATTTATATAAATAACTTTTAATTTTTAAAATGTTGGTGTTTTTATTTGGATCTGAATAGCATCAAAATGTTGAATGCTTATTTAGATGTTTATGAAGTTTAAATTAGGGTTTCCCAACCTTTTTGCACTGTGCCCCACAAGCCTGGTGTAAAAGTTCTTTAAGCTCTCTGTTTGAAAAAGTAATCTTTTCAAGTTATTTTGTCAATCATCTATTTTTTATTATTTGATGATTGCATACACTGTTCTTTTATTACATACTGTTTTTACCAACTATTTTCATTATCATCCTAACTCTTAAAGCCCCACTGCCCACTGAGGATTTAATTGCTCCCAGGTGGGGCCGGATAAAACTTGTTTTTGATCTATACGTTTTATTACGTTATTCCAATATAATTGATCTGAATGTCAGTAATGTCACAAAAAACATATGTGAATAAAAATTTGATCTTTTCATTTTTACCAAAAAGTCTATTTTGAATTTTTGTGAACAGCCGTACCCTAACAGCAGTGCATAATGCTATGCTGGAGGATCTCTGCTTTCCTTCTGAAATTGTTGGTAAAAGAATAAGAATCAAGACAGATGGGAGTCAAATAATCAAGGTTCATTTGGACAAAAGCCAACAGACCAATGTTGAACACAAGGTTTATTGACAATTCTATGACTTTTCTCATCTGTAACACGTTTTTTTGCCTTCATCTGAGGAAGTCGTGTTGCATACTGTATATAGGCATATTTTTGTATGAAATTTTTAACGTACATTTTTGTAATTTCAGCTGGATACATTTACAGCTGTGTACAAGAAACTAACTGGTAAAGATGTAGTTTTTGAATTTCCAGAATACGTTCTGTGAAAAGTTACTATTTCATAATTTGATTCCAGTTCAGTCAATTATGGTATGAATTGGACGTAATAAACGAAATTTGAAAAGTGTTTTTTGTTTTAAATTGCTAATGGGTTTTTCAGTTGAGTTCTTTGTGTCAAGTGGTTTCTCATTTTTGTTTCGGTGCGTTTTTCCTGCTACGTTATAGATTCGATCCCGGGTTGCAGCGTCAGCGATGTGTAAAGGCAAATGATGGCTGGCGTTTCGTCCACGCTTTGCTTCGTGAATATATGGGGTAGTGTAATGTACAGTATGTTTAGTGTGCTAATCACAGATTATGTCATGTATATATATATCATTATATATGTATACCCGTATTTTCGTCATTTCAATGTTTTTTTTGTCACTATTGGGTGTGGATTTCAGATATCCTTGGTTTTATCCCATTATTTTAATTTATAAATATTAATGAAAAAGTTTAATTGCGTCAAGTCTGATTTAGCTTTTGTTCCGTTATGCTCCTGCGTTTTAACCTTTTTCTTTACATTAAAGCTCTGTCAAACGCATAGCTGCCAAAGTGCCTACCTTTCTTTACTTGCCATAGACACTTTAAGGACCTGTGGCGTTCGCGCTCTGTATTTTGAACGGGTTCATGGCTAAACTACTTTCATTGCTTTGAAATAACTTAAATTTAAACTTTAATGTCACAACCTATCGGTTCCGCGATAAAACAGTATAAGATAAAACAACAGGTTAGGACAGCATACCGTTACAATTAAATAAATGAAAGGGCCGAAGAATAAATAAATTGAAAAATTAGTGTTCGGTTTTATCCTTGTTCAATTCTGTCTCTGTTCTGCTCATGCCATGGGGTATGCACAAAATGGCCCAGATCAAAATTCCGCGTCCGGTGAATCTTCCATGTCACTATAGTATTCCTTCTATATGACTATGTGCCTGTATCCAAAAACATGTGAAATAACTGGATCACTATCAAAACCAAAACATCATCAACACAAGATCTAAATTTAACTGAAGATGGTTAGAGTTTTGTACACTGCTGTGATTTATGGGAAAGCCCTGTACGAAGAAGACTGTGACAGTGGCACGTTTACTCAACTTATGCACCAGTACACCAAAAATTCCTGTAACGCCAGAGTGTACCTTTGACTACTAAGATTCCCATTAAAAGACAGTAGCAGCGTTACCTACCTTGAAAGAAAAACATCACGTAGAAGAATGCACAGTACGTTTCATATATGTTGTGACCATGTGGTTTAAGATGATGTTTATCAATGACCGGTACATCGCATGATGAATTTGGATAACAACAGTATTATTAAATTTTCATGATGAACTTGGTTAATAATTCTATTTTCAATAAATTAAAAGATTAAACAATATATATTTATATATATACATATATGTATGTATGTATATATATATATATATATTTTTACAAAATCAGTCAGTCGAAAACCATCGACGTGACTGTTAGTTTTACCAAAAACATTAATTTATAAACAAAATATTCTTTCTTCGTTCTTTTCCTGTTACACACATTAATCCCGCTTGCCGTGGGTATTTTGTCTGTCATTCAATCCTTTAAATCCTTGTCGAGTGAATCGAATCTCGTATCTTAGTGGGTTTACTTTAAATATTTTTTTCATTTAATGTTGATTAAGTTTATTGTTTTGGATCCTTTTGATGTTTCAGCTCTGCACCAAACACAATGACGTCTGAAACCGTCGAACAGGCAACTAGTGATGAACAAGTCTCACCTGCTGAGAAGAAAAAAGATCAGACTGGTAACGCATCTACTGGCAATGATTCTGCTACTGACTCTGACGGCGAAGAATCCATTCACGAATTAGAAGAGCAGGACCCAGCCGCTCAACAAGCCCAAGCACAGGTAGGATGAGTTGATGATGTTTTACTTTCAATCCAATAAGCATGTTTTTAATGTTCGCGTCAGTGCACTGCACGTAATTTTAATAAATGCTGATGAAATTTCATCTATTCATTAGTCAAGTGCACAATATTTTAGATTTTATTTTTCATTAAACACTAAGGTGTAAAAAAGATAAATATTTTTTAACCAAGAGAGTAGTATCTAAGTTTTCCTGGGGATATTTATTTTATATATAATAGTTTGGCCTGTGTGATGGCCTAGTGCTTAAGGTGGCCTGGTGCTGTTTCACAGTGTGTCTGTAGTAACAGGGCTTGATTTGATTATACAGCGCCTATCACATGCTTTGTGTATGATTTCTTTAAACAGGATCAATATAATTTTTATTTTATTTACATTCAGTTGGCACAAGCTGCTGGTTTAAATGAGGAACCTGTCAGTAAAGCTAAACAAAGTAGAAGTGAAAAGAAAGCCAGAAAAGCTATGTCCAAATTTGGTTAATATTTTCTAAAATATTAATTTTTCATTTTAAATAGTTTGTTAACTTGTCTCTGTTATATATACTAATAGTTTTGATTACAAATATTTTTACACTTTTTGCTTTATGTCATTTTCACATGAATATAAAATTCCCATCTCATATTTTTTTAAAGGACAATTTATGATCATGACAACATATATGCAATATTGTAATTGTTTTCTCAATATATCTGTAATTTAATAAGTGATTAAGCGTTCTGGGAGGTGTGTTTTTGTTCATATGTTTGAGAGTTAGTGGAGGTTGTTTGTTGTATGATTGCGCTAAGTGGTGCAGTATGAACTTGATATTTGTTTGGGTTGTAATTATGAATATTTGTGAGTTGAATTTTTTTGGTTGCAGTAAGAATTCATGCAGACTTGTTGTTAGCCCTGTTGTTTTGTCAACAATGCCATCTTCATTAGAATGAGTAATTTATACTATTCATTGCTCTGTAACTTTGTAGATATCTTTTGGTGTTATATCTGCTAGTGTTGTAATAAACATGGCTGTCACTCATTTAAGCATGATTCATGATGAATTTGTCTGTAATATAATTTTACGCATGTTTATAAATGAATAATTTTCTGAATCGTACTTATTTTGGATAAATATACTTCATATAATTAATAAATATTTGTGGTGAGCCATTTTATTTTCCAATCCGCCAACTTAATGCTTACTGACTTTTTCACAATGAATTATTTTTTACTACAATGAATTTTCCTGAAATCTACGGCAGAGCAACTAATTTTTTTTGGCTTCATAGTTTAAAAATTTCAGAATTTTTTCATGATATTTTTGAAAATAAATTTCAGGCTTAAAACCAATTCCTGGAGTTTCAAGAGTTACCGTTAGGAAATCTAAGAGTATTTTATTTGTCATCAACAGGCCAGATGTTTACAAAAGTCCAGTTTCTGATACGTACATTCTTTTTGGTGAAGCTAAGGTAAATTGATCCTGTCTGTAAATTATCGTTTAAAAATTGATTGTGACACAGATCTTATTATTATTATTGCTATGTGCAATATTTGTTTGGTATTATATTAACTAACAAATAAATTCTGTAGATAGAAGATCTCAGTCAACAGGCGCAAATGGCAGCAGCCGAAAAATTCAAAACAGCAGAACCAACAGCTCCCCTTGGAACAGCACCTGCTGCTGTTGCTCAACCCATTGCTGAAGAATCTGATGATGAAGAGGTCTTTTTTCAAATATTTTTATAATTTTTTAGTCTTTTATTATCAACCTGCACTCACTGACAGAACGTTGACGAAACCGGAGTGGAAGCAAAAGATATTGAACTTGTCATGTCACAAGCCAGTGTTAGCAGAAAGAAGGCTATCAAAGCACTTAAACGAAATCAAAATGATATTGTCAACGCCATCATGGTATGTTTTGTGTTGTATTGATTAAGCTTGAAAAGATTTTCAGTCCCTTTATTAAAATTGGTGCAGTTTACTCTCATTAATCTGGCCTGTTTTTTGCCACGTTTTTTTTTGATTGAAAACATATTTATTTGTGAAGAATAAATACTACATTCATGATAATCACAAGTGACTTTTTCCTAAATTAAGAATGATTTCATATTGAGTTTTTTAGTTTTAATTTTTGTTCAGTTGAATATTTCAATGGCAAAATATTATAAATCAATCAATCAATCAATCTTCGTTTTGCATCCAGAGACCCGGTTTCCCGAGGTAAGACGTTGTTTTCTTTGCCATCAACTTTTGGCGCAAAATTAGACGATCAGTTGTATCCATTTCATTTAAATTTAGAGCTTTCATGTCTTGCTCGATTGTTTGCGACCTAGACTTTTTTGGACGGTCTTTGGGACGTGTGCCAGGTACTTCAACATCTGCAAGAGAAGTTATTGTTTCCACTTCGTTGCCGGCATTCGTCCTTTATATCATCTATGCCAGCATGACGCAGGATTTCGGTAGATTTGATGTGGTCCTTCAGACTAATTCATTGCATCCATCGGAGCATTTTCATGTCGGTTCGTTGAAGTTGTTGTTCCAGTTTGGTTGTCAATGGCCATGTTTCTGCACCATATAACAACACCGGACGTATCACAGATTTAAAAAGTCTTCATTGTAGTGGTAGTGGGATGTCACGCCGCATCAATATAGAGGCAAGGAGATGCGATTTATTCCAGGCTGCACGTATGCGTGCTCGAACGGCAGCTTCAGCTGTTCCAGTACAATCCAGAACATCCCCTAGATATTGAAACGATGTGACTTTCTCTATTTTAAGGCTCAAAAA